AATTCATCGGTTCAGCGATTTAAGCGTGAAAACGTAACACAAACGTTACTTTCGCATTTATAATATTAGTTTGGATTGATACTTGCATCTGTATTGTACGTATCAATACAATAGGTACTATCATTTTATGGCAAATTGCCAATGACATATAAAATTCATAGAGCCCACACCACGATAGAACTCTCGTGAGAAATAATTGTCACGAAGGTTAAAGTTCAAATCTGTTTTCTAATATCGCCGTGTTTGTCTCTTGGGAATTTATAACGAAGCTAGTTTTAAAAACACATCTAATGAATTATATACACTTCAGTCGTGGACTCGTAAGTCGTAACCATGGGTAGTGCAACTGCTGCGTAATTACGTGTGTACCAAACAACCATACCAATAACCCTGGTCTCAAATCAGAGCAACGGAATTCACTATGAAGCAATTCCCAGAACACTCAGATCAGATAGGTACAATTTTAAAAAGTCCGTTTCTCAAATCGCAAATCATCCAGGCCAAACCGTCCGGTCACAGATCGACGTCGTCATCATAATGTGAACATTCTAAATTATACGAAATTAAACTACTTTTTCGGATCTAAATTAACGTCTCGGGCCCTTTACAGGTGCCATGGTGACTGTCTGACTGAGATGGTAAAGTCATCAACCAGTTAGGTCTAATAATAATGCATACCACCATGATACCACCCTATTTTTCGCGTATAAATATTTGCTTTTTCAAACAATTTAAATCCGAAGATAATGTTTAATTTCCTGTGTATAACATATAGGAAATTAAATCGCGAAAACCTAAAGAACTCGATTCTAAATCATCTTCTACTTATGGCTTTGTGGTGACTGCTATACTTATCGACACGGAGTAAGCACTATCTCCAAGTAATAAACAATGCGGGTTTTCACTATACGAGTGGTCTCAGACCGAGTGCGCTTGTACGAGTTACATCATGTAGGACTCCAAACCAGCATCAAAGTAGCATTTGTTTCCTTGAACAATCAATCAAGATGACGACGACTGATCTGTTGCTGCAAGGTATAGGAGTTATAGCAGATATGTTAAGGTGGAACGTCACGGTTGCTTTCCATACAAAATGAATTCGATATTTTCGTCACTGCGGCTGCTTTTATGTATGGCTGAATTTGTAATTCAAAGGGAAGGGAAAAAACAAAGCAAAAAACATTTGGACCAGAAAAAGTATTTAAAGACGTGACTAACTGGGAGCTTTAATTAATTTTATTCGTGAAGTGAAAAAAGGAAGATAAAAATACGTTTAAAACCTCATATTGTCACGTTTATTACACATTTTCTTGGATGGCGCCATTTTGTTTTCATAAAATGATCCGAGTATATCGTCAGAATAGAACCGACAGACTCCGCTCCTGCAGCTTGATTTTGATTGCCTCTCCCGATCGGAAACTGCATCTTTTCCGAGTCGAGGCTCATAATTGCGATTCAGAACTGGCCGATTGGAATCTTTCGACATTTCTAATCGGAACAATAGTTGATTTAACTCACAAATTAGAAAGATATAGTAGGAATCAGGTTCATCTTCTCGCTATGAAACCCATCTGATTTCAAGACTGCCCGATCGGTTTGATTCTTATTTGAATCAAAATTAGCATGCAAAAAGACGCATAGCCTTTTTTGTTGTTATTGCATGGAGATTTTTTTCACTTCTCACTTTTTACAGTCTACAGTTTACAGTCTCAAACCCTATAATAAGTGTGGTGGCTGAACTGAACTCGATTCATTCTATTGGAGAGGCTAACAAATCCGAAGTTCGGTTTTCTCTACAACCAATTCATAATTTATTGTTGTTTCAAATTCATTGCGATATAAAAAACCTCCAAGGGTGATCATGTTTCAGTAATTTAGAAAAAGAACGATTAGTAGATATTGTTTTGACAAGGCTCCCATTGCCCACACACAAAGAACCCTAGAGATGTGACTAAGGTTGCTGTCAAGGCCACTTTCTATCGAAAGTCATTGCATCATGTCCATTGACATTGTCGTTACTTTGAGGATGCATTGGATTATCCCCAGAGAAAGTTTTCACGTAACGACACTTCGTAGAATTCGAGATTTAATCTTTACATGTGTATGACACAGGTTTAGTCATTAGTTTTAGTTTCCTTATGATAAAAAATTGCTAATTAAGCATTTATACTTACATAATTGAGAGATGCTTCCTGTGACTTTCTTGAAAACACTATGTTATTACGATTAATATCTACAAAATTTTCCCGAAATGTTTACCTTCAGAAAAAGAATTTGTAATAACATGTATTAACATAATAAAATTTAAAAAACCCCCGATCCGTAAGCTAATAACTCGTGTCCAATTGAATAAGCCCAAACACGTTCTATTCTCGTTCTATTGTAAGTAGCTGAAGAGTTATGAAGTCTGTAGTATACAAACTTTCAAGTCGATTCGACGAATGGAAGAGCAATTTTCAGATTAGTTTTCTTTCTCTACCTAATTTCGGTGGCAAAAATTATTTTTCAAGTCTTCGAGTATATAAATAATATTTTCAGGCTACTTCTCTCGAATATTAATAATGAAAACTTTATGACAATGATATTTAAATAAAAAACAATTGCCGCCGATATTAGATAGAGAAAAGTAACCTGAAAATTATCCAGAAACAAAGTAAATATACATTTTATGATTAAGATTCTTACACCAATTGAGAAAAGGTCTGATGATCTTTAAACAGCAGCTTTTAGTGTTTATCAAATATAGCCAAAAGCCGTCCCGATTGAATTAGCATACAATAAAAAAAAAACCGCTTTGATCCGTTTGAAAAATACGATGACACAGATAGACTATAATATAATTCCCCCTTTTTGCGTCAGTGATTAAAAAAATCATTTTAAAAATATAACGATTTAAGGCAAAAAATAGTCTTTCTTTCTTAGTTTTTAGTATCCAAAGCATTGGTAATAAACAATTACTAAATACTCATATTCTATTACTAGATTACGAAATACTATGACTATTAGGTACTTCTCAGTTTGTTTGACTGGGCTAAATGAGATTACCAAAACAAGAAAGTGAAATAACTAGCCCACACGGGTCAGTGTTCGTGTCTTACTTTTATCTTAATGTCACTATAACCTCTTCAAAGAATTAACGAAGGTTGTTTTAAGTTATTATCCTTGTATTTGTCGTCATTTTCACTACTATTGACTTCACTAACAAAATATCCGGTCACAATTTATGAAATTTATTTATTGAGTTTTTGTAAGGAACTTGAGAAGAACACAAGCGTCTTAAATGAGTGAATACAAACATTGTGATACATGGAGATTCCCAAAAAATCGGCTTTCCGTAAAAACAATTCAAACACAGAACGAATATAATGTTAGGAAAACATTTTTTTATAAATTAAAATATATTTTTTCATAAACACTCATAAATACTGTATAGAAATCCAATTAAATAGCGTGATCGTGCATACTATTTTGTAATATATTTAGTACTACCTCACTTTTCAATTTACTACTACTTTCTATGAAAGTAGCACAGTTTAGAAACAAATAAAACCACAACATAAATGTGTAATAAACTATTTATTAAACGAAAAGCATTCCAATATAATTATTTGAGTATTTCAAGCTCGATGCAAAATTAATTCGCAATTTATTGTTTAAATTCTAATTCAGCATTTGAAACAACAGCTTCTCTTGCAAGACGTAAAAATGTTCTTCAGTGTTTATCAGAAGACGAATGAATTTTTCTTTTATAATACTAAGTGACGGGACGAACAAGTCGCGCGCCTGGTGGTAAGCGACACGCCTGTCCATTGCAGTTGCAGTGCCACGCAGAGCTTTAAATCGCACAGATCTGAGTTGCACCGCCACTGCAGCCGTCACCTTGAGACGTAAGTTGACAAGTCACATGTGGCTGAAATTTCACCAGCACTCTTACCGTTCAAAACCGGAATGCAGTGAAGCTCACATTACTGCTTGGCGACAGAATTAGGTAAGGAATGTACGCTGGAGTTAGTAATTTATTCTCGTAAAACTTACAACCACCTGCTTGTAGAGTGCTTACCTACCTATAATATACTTACATTCTTTCATCATCATATTTTCGGAGATTCATTGGGCGTAGGTATCCCCTAGAATTCGCCGTCCGGTTCTACTGCTAGTGTTTCTGCTCCATGAACTTCCAGCTTCCGGATATGTTCTGACCAGCCTTTGATCTACCAGACTACCGTCCTCAACTGCTGTCCAACCCATTGCCACTTCAATAGCGTCACTTAGTACCCGACATCGGTTACTCGAGTACATATTTTATGAGCCGCAGATTGCTACTTTAAAAATGAATAAAAGTACGAACTAGAACGCATAAAAATAAGTACTTACGGTTGAAACGTCCCAACAGTTGTGAAAACGTACAATAATAATACACACATACGTTTATACTACAGTTATATAAACACATGATATGTACATTTATTTGCTATGGCAATAGAAGCCACAATTTTAGAAATCTGTGGAATAAAAAAGCACGTAATTAACAAGCTCTCTTGCAATACATTTTTAAAATACTATTTTCTAAAGTTCATGCTTCGAAGGTATTCGGGTTTTACGAAAGTTTACGAGCAATGCATTGTCAATCTATTTCATTCCAATTTATCATTTGATAATTTTTGGCCCACATAAGGTCACGGTCATTCCGTCACGGTAACACAGTGACAAGTTTCATTTCTTATGTGTAACAATCGCGAAAACCTAAGAACTCGATAAGTTGTATTTGGATTAGCGCACGACTTTTCTCGAATACATCGCACGTTTAGAATGACAGTGACCCAAAACAAAATTTCAAGTTCTTGGGAATACGCATAATAAGTTCTGAAGTTGTGACATTTTCAGATTATTTAATGAATCTATTACTCTTGAAGTAATTAAGGTAATGGTCTTGTTAGTCCCAGAAAATACCTACCTAATTATGAAAAATATATGTATATCTTTATAAATTATATCTGATTATTTCAATATTTAACAATAGTTACTAGGCGAATAGTACCTAACTCTTCGCTAGGGTCACTTTTTGACAAACACAACAAATAAGTAGTTGTTAACTTTTAAATAATAAATTTAACATGGGAAGTAAGGTTTTACAGAATTAGAGAGTAAACTTTAATGTTTCCGAAGCTTGGACATTACAAAATAATACTCTTTTTTTTATCGGCACTTTATGAACGATATGTGTGGTAATAAGGATAGCCATCAGAAATAAGTCTACCAGGATCTTATATGAATTTGTAGTGCAGCTGTAGTTTTTTGCGAAATTGGATTTGCAGAATCAGTAATAACCTGCTCCACATTATTTTATGGAATTTCGACTCTCTTTTTAATACAACAAAAAGCGAGAAAACACATGTGTGAATATAATAGAAGTGTCGTGTCAGTAAACCATTATTGTGCCCGTCATCAATTTTTGTCGAACAGATCACTAACACTGAATAAAGTTGCAAGAAATAGGTGCTGATAGATGTTTTACCGCCGTGAGAAAGCCAGAGGCGTGGATGATCTCTGGTTACCACGAGACACTTTAGCGTTTACAAAGGGCTACAAGGGGTTAGACCTTCTTTGTATACTGTAGAAATTATAGTGCAATATTGTTCCGGTACTGTTTATGGCCGATTTACATTCACCCAACAACACTGGCACATAAAATAGAGGCAGATTCTGGAATAAAACATACAATGTGTACAAATTAAGAACAATACCCTGCAATTCCTTTCCCGTATTCTTTTATTATGTTGAGTGTGGGCCTTACTCTTTAAGGCTAATTTACTTTAATCTTGTATTCAGTAGCGCTGGCGAAGGAAAACTCAAGAGACTAGAGGCAGACTGTAAAATAACATTGGTTATTAGGTATGTCAAATCTCTAAGGGTTATTTAAATTCGTTTCTGGAACGCTACTACACGCCAAAAATTATATAGAGATGGGTTTCGGAAAGAAACATTTGTTTAGGCCGATTGCTACGTGCATAAATTATTAGACCATCACTAATGCAGTACAATAATTTCAGTTGTTCGATTAATTTTAATAAACTCCGTGCAGGATCTTGAGATATTCGAATTAGAAATAAAGTTGTCCATTGGTTTTATAAACTACCATAAATTTTAACAAACCGAGAAGGTTTTAAAAGCTCTTACCAAGATTTTTTGGATTTTTCATTATAAAGTTAAACTTGGGCTGTTTCGAACCCTTTTATAAATATTTTAAAACCTTATTCTACTTTGAAACAGTGAGTGCGTAACCTATGGAGTAGAATGTGCAGCGCACAGGGCGCAAGAGATGTAAGTGGGCTATTGCTTCCCAACATTATTTTATAATTGCACCATTTGCACCTGAATTTCCGATTAGTGAGGAAAATATCTATTCCATTTTGATCACGTGCCTACTAGAGGGCGTCAGGGTATTGATTGCACCCAAGCGCTACATGAGCAAGCGCCAACGCTGCTTTGGAAGCTCTACTTACCTCATTAGTATTGTTACCTCTGTATGGTATGTACCTGAAACAAAAGAAAAGTACTGCTATTAATATGTTCTCCTTTTTTAATTATTCAATAATATTATTTTCCCTATTCTCTATTGGGTCACACATGTCGACAGTTGGTTTAAATCCTGTTCTGAGGGGAACCTCGTGAAATCGGATATTGGTTCCTGATATACGATTTTAATTATTTCCGAGTTGAAATTGCTTAATAAAAAGTATTTGTATATCGCTTAAAAAACTGTTCAATATTTTTTTTATTGTTACGATTGATCTTAACTGTTTGTTGGCAACACAAATTTCTGTACCTGTAGTTTTAAGAATTGCAATAAACGCTGGTTTTTTCGATTCCCAAAGCATTCACGATTAATTTAATAATAAAAAGCTATATTTATCGACAAATAACAGTCTAGTCGTAAATAATATCGTCTGAAATTACGCATGTAGATAAAAAGGTAAGAGTGTCAGCATGAGCTGTATTTCAGACTACCTTTTTGGTGAAACTCGTTACGTTTTATACAGTATATAGTTATATGACGCATATCGACTAGCTCCGATAAAATTATTACTAAACAGTAAATAATAACAACTTCAACTTCAAGCTATGATCATAATTGTCATGATGGTATAGAAGTCAAATAATATATTGCGTTTCAGAGTAGGTACTACAATTTTAATTTTAGTGCATTTACAAGCAAAGGAGACTAAAGATCTGTATGCCCCAAAGCTGGCAAGGCATTTTTTTTTTAATGCAAAAAAAAAGCTGCCTATGCGTTACCAGATTTTAAGAGAATGTTTCCTTAGTAGGTAACGCAAATGTAGTGTACCTACTAGGCCACTACTAGGCGGTACCACTTTTCAGTTGGACCACATATTATATTACTTCTGGAGTTGTCAATGTTACTATAAATATGAAGGGGGCAATGAACCAAAAAACCAACGGCTCTATTCCTATGTGAACGAATATTTTTCGAAACCAAGTCTCATTTGATAAGTAAACAAATGTCCTTGTCAAGGTCCACTCGGGAACGACCAAGCAACGGGATGAACAGGTTGGACACACGGTTTGACTAGCACAGTTAGCCAGAGTAACTAGGTCATCTTATATATATGGTGAAGTTCAAGGCGCACCGCTCCATTGTAAGTAAAACTCTCGCAGAAGCAACACGAACTTTCACCGGTGACGGTAGCTACCTTGTGGAAGACAGTGTAGTGATTCAGTGATATCCCGACTTCGAAATAAGAGACAAGGTAAGATCCTGGAAGTGATTGTGATGTCACGGGATTTTGATTTTAAATAGCGATGTGATTTCGGTGTTTCTCACATGTGATTTTGGTGATTCCGGACTTCCGAAAAAGTAAATTGGAAGTGATTTTAAAACTAAAAGTTGTATATTTTAGTAATTATAATGGATTATTACGTTTTGTTTCGATACACAGAGTAGTTGTGAAAGCACCAAAATCTATATATTTATAATAATATCTATATATTTATATTATATATATATAATATAAGCATAAGATAAAATTTAACAGAGTTATTATACAATTTGACGTACATTACGATCAATAATAATTACCTATATTAAATAATATTTGTATATAAATTTTATGCCGTTTGAAATACATGTTCTGCTTTAATCAGCAATTTGCTAAAAAAATTCAAAAGGGTTCCAAATGATATACATTGTTTAATTACATATAATTAAAGTTAGAAATAAGTTACTGAACTTATTTACACTATTTATTGAAAAATAATATAAAATCTACTAAGTCTGCTTTATATATTTCAAAGATCCTCTCACGATGTGTACTACACCTGACGTTTCTGACTGTACATGCATGTCTAATGCAAATGATCACCACACCACGTGACGGAACAAAACCACTACGGGTTCGTCACGAAAATTTCACGCCACTTAAGTAGTCAACATGCATTCTTTTCATTTCGCCGTCCGCTTTAGTCATGTAAATAAAAACCTTCACTTTCTAAAATGTGAAAACACACATTATACGGAGTGTAACCCTGGATAGGACGTACTATTGAGACAATAGTCCCAATAACAATACTCAAAGGAGAGACAAAACACACTTGTGTAATGTTTAATACAAATTTGACATAACAATGTAAACGCGCGAACTCTCTAATTAAAAATGTTGTATTTAAAAATAGCGAGCGCGAAAATTAGTCTGCAAACTGTTAACAGTGCATCAATTAAGACTAAAAACAAAGTAACACTTTCACTTTGAGTTTTTATTCATGAGAATGTTAAATACGACTTTTGAATAAATACATATTGCAGTTGACAGAAGTCTTGACTTCATTCTAAGTGAGCATCTTCCTAGATCGACACGTCCGCATTGGAAATCAATTTCAATTCACAACGGTTTGCTTTGCCAGTAATTGCTCTATTCTGCAAATAGAGCGAAACAAACGTTCATTCGAGTTCAATTACACTTGATTTTGCGTTCAAGATCAAGAGCAAATGTATCTAGTTATGGTTCTATAATTTCTTCACACATGGAATTTCAAGTTGAAACGAACGGCACTCCCAACGGACTCCTTCATCCGTCAATGATCTAGGCTTCTATGGAATTAAAACTTGCGATGAAGGCTACTTTGAAAACCATTTAAAGATAAATTAAAAACCATGTATTATGAAACAAAATTAATTCAGTGCACTGTATAGTAAACTGTTATCGCGTCGCAAACATTGGGTTGCAAAACAACAAAAGCAGCATGGTTGTTGATAAAATGTATTCATATCCGTCAGTCGTCGACGAAACTGCAGTAAATCACATAACGTAGAAGCACTTCTAAGCTGACAGTAAAATTATTCGAAAGTTACCCATAGATTCCCACGTACAATAAACTTAACAATGTGACGACAATGCCGTTTGTAACACTTACGTTACACAGAAATGATCGCGACTATCAAACGAAACACATAATATAGTGAAACTTAGCTGCTTTCCTTTTAATAGTATTAACGAGTAATACAATTTATTTTCAAAAGTGATTTATGAACTTAAGTTCATAAATCACTGCATAAAAAGCAGTTTTAAAACTGCTTTTTATTTTTTTGATGTTAAATTGATCCTAATAAGCGCATTGACAATACGATACGGATACGAAAAATATTAGTATTCGATACTATACTGTAAAATACTAACAGTTCTTTATCATTTAGGCTTGTTTTAGACTAGCCATTACCGTAAATATAGATATGAACACTTTTAAACATTAAGTTGCTTAATTTTACGTAAAAGCACTTACAGTTGTACTGTTTTGGACAACTCAAGTACTATTTATAATTCCTTGTAATATTCATTACGATATCAATATTATAATGTTTATAGCACGATCAGATAACCTGCCCAGTCTCTAGACGGATTAGAAAGCGATGCGCGGTGCCCTTGATGCCCTTTCATGTATTACCCGGGTAATAAACAGCCTCTTTGCTAGTTCAATCTTTCAATATACATGTTGATTAGATTTAGTAAAAAAAAGTAAAAGTGGAGAGTTCGGTTTTCGAATTTTTAACAAGTGATAAATATATACATATATATTTTCTCAAAGTCGCATTTTGCATTTCATCACTACTCTATCAACATCGCTACTTTAAGAACTTTACATTATATTCATAACGAGTAGACTAGATACTATAAATAACCATCACAGCAATTTGATATAACAGTACAGGATCTCGTGACATGGGATTGACTAATTAAAAGTCGTGGAACGTATATTGCGTCGAAAGTGGCGAGGAAAGCTGCGCAATGGCAATGGACCAGTCGCGTGCGCGTGCGCTAGCACGTGGCCATCTCTACGTTCTTGTAGAACCATGAAGAAAATACCAGATGCTGATCACACGTTTTTCCTTTGAAAGTGTTAACATTTACACATATTCAAACTATGTTTATTTTTAGTAATTTGTTATGTAACTACTTTTTATGCACCTAGAGCGGTGGTGTCACTTTGTTAGGTATTTCTAAACACAAGTTTCATGATTCACAGGATTTCTGACTAAAAAAATGGGTAGTTTTCTTTACTTAATTTTTGTAGCAATTTGCATTATTCAAATATTCTGGAAATATATCATGAAACATTAGTTAATATTTCATGATAATATACTCGAATAATTAAATAATAACAATTGCCACCAAAATTAGGTAGAGAAAACTAACCTGAAAATTGCCCAAATATTTCTTTTCTGGTTATACTAGAAGTGGGTCCTCAGTCTAGATGATCAATTCCCAACACTAAATGTGACAACACACCCCTAGTGGATAGCCTGCTGACAAGCTTGTTTTTTGTAAACGTTTTCAATATCTATCAGATTAAAACATGCCTAGTAGTAGGCACAGAACCAGTAACTTAGGACGCATAACATAATTTAATGTAAATACGAAACATTTCACATGAAAGTAATACGCAATCAAGTAATGATTGGTATAGACCGTTATGTCCACACCAACAATAAATAATACGCATACAGTTTATTCGTGTACAAAAATAGCGGCAATCGTGTAAATACAAAATTGGCTGCTACCGGAATTACCACGTCAAAAACAAAATTTATAATATTCATAAAATTATTTACTCAAATGCGATACTTATCAAAAAATTTTAACAAATGAACGCTGGCTATGAAGAGCTGTACCTACTCGCGATAAAGCTATGTAACCATCAAAGCCATGTTGTTCCTACTACAGCACCAGTGCAATGAATTATATTATAATACATCGTACCTTTACCGCGGCGCAACGTCGTATAATAAATATGTTCACAACACAAACTTTAATAAACCTTTACAACTGCTCCTAAGCTAGCTAAGTTTCCGATACAACTCGGAAACTTAGCACTACAATTTGCATAATTTGAGAAAAAAAACAGTAGAAGATGTATTTGTTCAAGTACCCAGTACATAAATATCGATTAGTTCGGTTGATAACATAGATGTCGTTCAATCTATGAACACGAAAATGTAAATGAATTCTATTTATATATTTTTCTGAACTGATTTTAACGTTATCCGCGGCCATTTTGTAGTGCAATAAATAAAACACAAACAATATTTTTTTTATTTACGTGCATTTGACCTCCATCTCATCTCATAGAAGATGTGGAAATTTATAAATGAACTGTACGGTAGAGCACAGGGCTTTCGTCAGGCGTATCTTGAGGGAATACGACAACTCCTTCTAGTCAAATAAGTTCACATAAACTCAGAGTCAAGAATCATTTATTCCATAGGTAAAATAAATTTAAAAAAAACACTTGAAAACGTCACAGTTAAGCTACTGCTCGTTCACTACGCTGCTGATTTCCCTAAGAAGAACGAGCAAGAAACTCTAGGGATTAAAATCAATTCCATAAATGCTATGGAATAACACTTTGAATCAAATTTGTGTGGGATCTGGAGTCATGTCGTCTTTCCATACATATTTATCTAACACGTAGTCTTCAATTTTGTAATATAACTTCAATCAAAATTATTTAATATATATATTAAATTAAATGTATCTAATTTTTAATATGAAAACGAACCTTAAAAAAAATCTTACAATTAAGGTAGGTCATGCGTTAGCGTTGAACGAAAATAATCAGAAAAAAATTATAGTTCTACCCGATACCTACTATGATTAAGTCCGTCGCGTCTCGAGGCGACTCAAATAATTCCTACTCATGTCAAAAAAAGTTTAAAGTGAAAGTTGTGCCGTGAGAGGAGTCTCGTCATTCACCGGCTCAGTTGTGTAACCGAAACGATTTTAACATGAAAATTATGCACCGGCGTCGCTTTTGAATACCTGTTATTACAGTCCTTCAGTTTAATCAAGTGTTCCGTAGATACGTTTAATAAAAATATTAATAAAATTAATGTTTGTTGCAATACGTTATTAGTAAAGTTTGTAACTAATGACAACTTTGAAATAAATAAAAAAGATTAATGAAACATGACTGACACAAGACATTTAAAAGTCACAATATACGGGGCGGGGACGGTATTTTTCACGTCCCGACTCGTTCCCTTCGCTTAAATTGAATACCATGTTTTTATACGTAACGATGTAAACAATATAAATCCCGTCTGGTACGGACGGGAAAAAGGACGTTGGGTGTACTGTTACCTTAAATCGTTAAAATAACCCTAAAAATAACGTACGGTGTATATAGTTTACTTGCTGAGGTCTATTTATTATTATTGATTATAGTTTATCATAAATTTTCGAATGAATCCATGACCACCAAAGACGTTTTGTCCCAAAAACGGCGTCCGGCGCAATCAAAAGTAGGTGAAGGTGTCACAACGAATTAAACATGTGCATCTTGAATCAATTTTACCGTTCTATCCACATCAAGAACAGGGTAACGGTGTGCTTGCCGCACGCTCATCCATGGTACGCAGTGGTTTGTGGAACAACGACGGTTACCTCGAATAATTAAATTTATTAGACAAGCCAATCGTTTCAACCAGACAACGTCGTCAATATCAAAACACAAAGTTGCATTGCATTTACACCAATATCATATAAACTACCTATTCAACCACATAACTATTACGACTGAATAAATATCACATCCGTGTACGAAACACGCACAGTAACAGACTGCACGGTTTTAGAAAGCGGATTGCACGCTGGACCGGTCAGTGAGTGGGCTAAAAAGAAGCCAAAAAAACACGGAACGAACGAGAGAACAGTTTGAAAAACATTCCATTTCTCTAAACATCCTCTTACACAGACATCTTAGAAAAACGACAGACGGTTTAAAGTTACGGCGCTTCGTGAGGCAAACAATGTACCACTTTGGATGATGATAAATTGTAAGATGGGTGGAGAAACTCGCATCTCTTATTTTTCCACGGTGAATTTCCGATGAAAGTCTGGAACAAGTTGATCGCAGTGTAATAGCAGGTCCGAGTCCTCGGTCCGAAATCAGAAAAACGTGAACCTTGCACGGCAGTGGCACACACGCCACCGGCTCGCGTTGCTTTCACCTATCGCCATGTTTGCCGCGCCTAGCACTGCGCTGTTCTGCGTTACTAGACAATATAATTATACCTACTGTATGCCATAAAAACTCAGCATGAGAGGACTCGTAAATGCCAATCGTCGGACATTAAAATCATGACAGCAAAATTTGCTCTTGGCGTTGTTTTCTTATTAAGAAGCACGGAAGACGTGAATTAGTATCAGAGATGTCATTATTAACAAAGGTATCTAGAACGTAATATGGATTCACCTAAAGATCATTTAAAAAAGCTAAACGTTATGCGTGCCAGAACATCCGCTTCGGATATCGAAAGTGAGGTTACATTCCCGCGCGATGCACCTCGCGTGAGGTTCAACGGTTGCGCTAGAGAGTTACTGGGTCAAGGGGTCGATGGCATTTCACCCTGCTATGCAGTTTGCTCAAGTAAGCCCAACTGCTTCTTGTGGACAAATACTTATTAATAGCTTATGATAATGTAATGGAAATTACGACTAGCTTCTTAGTTTCCGGAAAATATGACAGGCATTGCACACTTCCAACTTTCTCTATAAGTACCACAAGTTTTTACAAAGCGTTGGTACACTTACTTATTATTGTTTAATTTTTTAATAACGGCGCAACGTTAATTTTTGAACACATTCAGTTGCACGCGAATTTGCAAAATAAGAAAATATTTAGCGGTTTACCAGCTACATATTAACGACAACAGAACATACATAAAACATAAGCGATTGCTGTTGGTCTTGTGACGGCGAATTTCTCCAGAGAGAATCTGCACACGCGGTGACAACGAAATGTGTGCCTTAAGATCAACTGCAAAATTCAATCTAGTGCCATTAAATATGTTCAGTTTTTAATAAAACATCAAAGAGGGTGTAGACTATTATGTTAAAAAAATCAGCAACTGGTTAGCATGGACGGTGTTAAAAATGTATACCAGATAAAGAGTCAGTCAGGAATACTTACAACATAAAGTTTAAATTCAAAAAATTATGTTATATCTGTAGCGTGTGCGTAACGCAGCACTTCAGCGGAGACAAAATCATAACGTTTATAAAAAGGCCAATTTTTATCGGTCAAAGAAAGCCGATCGTCGAGACTGATTCGTGACCGTTACAAGTAAAAATTTACGTCAATTTATATAACTAGCGCCTTATTAACAGGTGCTTGAGGTGACATCCGAACTACAGTTACTGAGACCGGGTTACCTGTATTGGTCGGCCGGCCTGCCGCTAACACACTTCTGTACCGGAGACGCCGCGGTACACCTTTGGTATTTGACGCAATATGCGCTATCCAAAGTTGAGTTTGGGTTCGAATTCGTTAAAATAATTAAATCCCAAGAATGTTAAGACTCATTAAAGAAAAATTAAGTAACAATTTGACGTAGAACGTTTAGACGTAATAGCCGCTCTTCACCAATTAGCTCTAATGGGCATCCTCTAATTGGAGCCTCGGCAGTCAGCATCCTCGTAAAAATGCACCATAGGCGATGCGGGGGCCACTTTCTAAGCAACTCCAAACGCAGATAATCAATTCGCGAGAATCACTCATCAGAACACTTTCTAATCGGCGTACATTACGCTTATAATAAATAAAAGAGCATTTTCTACGAGTTGTTTGTCTACGAGTATTAGTTTAAAATTTAATCAAGGAAAATTTAATTTTACGTTTACTTACGATAAAATCTTTTTGTAGATGCACCAAAAAGTGGCAGGTTGGGCGTTGCTGGCCCTCATCAGCTCATCAGCTATTCTTCACACAATGGCGTACCCGCAGCATGCAATGCAGCCCTTGATTTCTCAGGTAGGTAAACTCTACTTACACATCCTTTTGAAGTCAATACATATCTACTTAATGAAAGCATACTTACCGCAGTAAACGAGTCATTATCCTAGTAAAATTTCGGTAAAACGCAACAAAACTACTTTTTTATATCACTAACATGTTACGTGTACGGAATGTAGAATCGTTATATTTTATTTCACAGCCATTGTATTTTTTTTCAGTCAACGAGCAATGTCCGAACACAGAACCTGAAGTACTACAGCAACTCGCTGCCCTTGCCGCAACCAGCAGTGGAGGAGCGCAAGTTTGCCGAGAAGCCCAACGCCTTGAAGAAGGTGGCTCTCGACGACCTGGACGACATTCAAACGAATTCCATATCCGACAGCGGGTTCTCATGGTCGAACATGCTTAGTGAGTATCGCTTTCACAACCACTGCGTTTCCTGTGGAAACCTGATAACGGTATCGTAGATAGCCGGATTCACTCAGAGCTATAAATGAAAACGAAAGAGGTCTCGATACTGATAGAGACCGTGTAATAAATGCGTGCCTGCTTTATTGCATAGCGTATTTTTTTATTATGCGAAAAATATTTTTATTTTTTACAAAAATAAATTTACGCAATATTAAAAGGGTTACCACCTTTCTCGTATTGTTTAAAATAGGTTGTAACACATTGTTTATGGTACATATTTTCAGGTATGGTAATGCAAATGCTTTTCAACCCCGGTGGCACAACTGGCCCCAACAAGAGTGACGACAATGACACAGTTTCCCCATCTCCGTGGGCAAACCTCCTCTCTATGGGTCTGAAAATCCTCACTGCTATTCTCGGAGGAGGCGGAAGCGACGGCATCGACAAGGTCGACAACGGATCCTCCCCGATGCAGGTATATAAACGTACTTAAATATAATATGCGCATGTAATCAAAGTAAGATCACTACCCCAAAAATATTCTAGGAAATACGCAAATCAGTATTATGTACAAAAATATAATATTGCAACATTTATTTATCCATACTGATATACTAACATTATTTTTGTAGATGTAATTATTTAAAAAAACCTCTCAGCCACACGTAAATTTATTTGTATAGTGTAAAAAGCACCTTGCAATTATCCTCACCTGTAGAAGGGATTGTATCCATAATCAATATAGTAGTTAATAGAAGCCTAAATAACTTAAACCTTCACATTCTGGGAATACCTCATTGAAAAAGTACGTTATTAGATTTGATTTAGTCGACACTTGATTTCTGGATAAAAGTTTATGATCAAAAGATGATTCCTTGAGGTACTCCCTCCATTTAGAGTGTATATAGTAAACTTGGTTATGGAGACGGTGTTGCTTCTCGCTTGCTTCAGGGTATATTGGCAGCGGTTCTGTCGACGGTGCTCGGTGCAAAAGATCCCGACCAGGTCGCCTCCATGGCAAAGCAAGCTGGAGAGGTACGCATCCCCTTCCTTCTTCCTTCTTTAGTTTTCTTATTTAGTTAGCAATATCATTGTAAGAAGTAGTGTAGTGTTTGCGATTCTCTTTTCGTAGATAGATATATTCTAGTCCCTGCTGATGTTAAACTTGTTCTTCTCATAGTTCATCAACATCGTAGTCAACCTCCTTGATGCCCTGAAGACTTCATTCTCGCACCGCTCTTTGACTGCTCGTTCCATGGGTCGCAAGGACTCTGTCAGTGATGCTGCTCTTGCTGGAATTGCCATGATGAAAACCTACGTCAGAGCTTTCGGCACCAACGATGACAAATGTCTCCAGAAGTACATCTGCGATGCCAATAACGAATGTTCTTCTGATATTGGGCCTAAGAGCGTGTTCTGCCAACTTGGAACGTTAGTATCATTCTGTTAAACTAGTTAAGTTTTTGTAGCATTACGTTGTATACGATTAAATAACATTTCCAAACACCAGGATTATTTGATAACGTCAGTAGATTTTTATAATTATTAATACAAAGATCGAACACTAAGCAAAAATTCCCTCGATCTGACTAGATTCGAATCAGCGCCTTCAGCATACCGTGCCCGACGCTCTCTCAACTAAGCTACAATGAACCAGCAGACCTTACAAATTTTTCTATGTGCTTTTTGCAGATCTTTGTTTTTTATTTTTAACTACGCGTAGTGCCATCTGTGAGAAATTCATGAAAGTTTTTCTTCACTTAGCCAGGTACCTTTACAGCACGTACAGACCGCGCTGGTTCGTATCTAATCTCAACGAAGGAGTTTTTTCAGTGTTCGATCTTTGTATTAATACTTATAACAAACTAGTGGACTAATTTCACATAAAATAATTGAATATCATGGTAGTAAAACATCGTGAAGATCAATAAACTTAATGTCGGCAGATTTTCTTACTAGAGCACTTGTGTTGGCTTTTCCAGTTACGCAGCTAGCTTCGTCTTGGAAAGGCAATCTGGCGGTACCTTCGAGGAGTTCTACGAGGCCGGGCGTCGCGGCCGTGCCGGTATCGACTGCCGTCAAATGTATCTCCAGTGCAACGAAGTCTAAACACTTCCCTCATAACTCATAGTAACCAAATTATTCGGGTTTTGCTAACACCAGTATTGACAAGTCGTCAGATAATTACCTCCAACAAGAATGCAAAATTTAAGGAACTTAGTTTCTAATTTGTTTGAATTCCGTGTGATGAATATCTTGTTAAAAAGCTCTGAACAAGTACATTTATGAAGATTTGTATTTCGTGTCGATTGTAAAGTAGGAGTTAAATAGAAAAGATGGGAGTTATAGTGCCTTACTATACGAAATTGGCTTGGTACCTATGCTCAAATCTTATCGCAACTCAGTTATAGGAAGGCTTAGAGTGCATTGAGTTAGTGTTCTATTAATTTATTTAAATTATTTATTTATTTAACTTATTCTAGAAGTAAATAAGTAGGAATTGTAAAAAATAAATATTCAAATATTGTGAATCCACAAACAACAAAAGTATCCGTCCAAATCCCTTATATTAAATTGGCAAATTGTTATTGTAGAGATGATTAACAATTAGCCGAATTATCGTTGAGTAAATGACTGATAAAATAAAAAATATTTATGTGTGATATAAATACAAGTTTATATCACCGAATAGTTTAGTCGTATATTTTTGTATGAATGAATTTGTATGTTTGAGGACGTCCTTGAGTGATTGTGACAAAATAAACAAAATGTTAAAATAAAAACTTTTTTATTCACCACATTGTTATGGCATCCTCTGGCTTTTGGGAAATCCAAAACCTTACCCATGTAAAAAGACAAAAGTCAAATGACAGAGGCCGATATCAAAGAAAACAAATTCCCGACAGTATCCGAGATTTCTCTTGAAGATGTTACGTTAGGAACAAACTAAAAGCTATAATCAGGAGTTCCCGCTAGACACGTCACACATGGCCAGGCGTGACATGATGACATCGAGAACCAGAGCGTAATAAATGCTCCCGTCAGCGGCGTATGCGCACCTTGTCAGTCAAACCTTGACATTCGCTCAAGACGTACGACCGTCAACGAGCAAGATGACGCTGGGAAATCTTTTGTCTCAAATGGGAATAGAGACGAAACAACTTACAGAAAGGTAAGTTGGTTTTATATTTATATTTTTAAGTGAAAATTTCTCAAAATAGCATACTAGGGGAGCAATAAATAGCGTTAATTAAACAAGCGGATGCAATTTTTTTGCTAAATTATATTTTTTCAGTTTTATTTAGAAATAATGTAAATATGTACTCGGACCATTATAGAGGTGGAAATACCCTAATTGCTAGATGAAAACTTTTAGATTTACGCAAAAAGCACGATGGAGAGGACAATAGAGTTGCAATCTAACACAGGAGACGCTATTTCTTTAATAGCTTTCTGCAAAACCCTCGAAAATATACGGGGTAGAAATTAGAAAGCATCCGAAAACACTAGGTTATTTACTTTCTAATAATTTTCCAGATTTTCCCCGACAGACTACGGCGGTACGGGAGGACACGACTCTCATACGATTTACGCCTACGAACCTCCCGCCCCTCACGTTCACGTTGCGTCTTCTAAATAGTAAGTGTTATTCAAGTGTATTTATTGTTGAACAATGAATAGGTAATTTGAAAATTTCAGAGGGAATTCATATTAAAACTTACTTTTGTTTGCAGTCATCATCATCATGGCGGAGGAGGTGGACATAAAAGCAATTCAGCAATGTCAGCTCTCACACTTCTGGCATTTCTATTCTTCCTTCACATCCTCCAGCAATGTCTTCGGGACCACATGATGTCCATGACTACGTCGACGCCAATCATGATTATGACAGCTGGACGAGAAGGCGAAGAAGCAATACCAAAAATCAACGACAAACTTGATAAATCAGGTGTGACAGATAAAGCAAAACAGATCACGGAAATTAACACCGAAAACCATAAAATGTACGATAATTCAAATGCAAAACAAAATCCAAATGGAATTGATAATCATAAAGATATGACAAAGATCAACGCGGCCCAGCATACACCGAAAATAGGTGCCGAAAAATACAGAAACGTATTAAAAAATTACGGAAATCATAGTTATGCACTTTCTGGATTTGTTAGTGCTATGGATCTTAAATAATCCCATGTGCTAATGCTATAATTTTAATTTACGTATCTTTCCAAATTACTGTATAACTATTTTAATAAATTTCTACGTGACCTCAAACAGTGTATTTTTCTTGAAATATGCAATATTAAAAAAAATAATGGACAGTGTAAGAAATAAACTATGGATTACAATTTCAAATTTATCTTTCATATTCCATTTACTTGTCTCAAATTTCACTTTCTTTTTCAATTATCAGAGTAGCTTAAATAAATGCACATTTTATTAATGTATAATTTTTTTTTTAATGAATAAATTAAACATAAACACGGAATGTGCGCACGGATCTAGTGACATATTGATTAACAAATTTGACCGACTAACAGCGACACCTATCAAATCAATCAGTCCATCAACTCATACGTCAATAAAATAAATAACGAAATTCAATGCTTCATAAAATTATAATGAAAACTAACAAAGCTTTTTCCGATAATTTGACATATAACACGTGTGTGTAAGAAAGAAGGAATGTACACGATTTCATGCAATAAATGTGATTTTTTAATTGAAATTTCCACGCTTATTCATGTAACAAAGCAAATTAATCTTAAAAAGTTTCCAAATTTGGATAGACGTAATTTTGAAAAAGAAATTATGAGTGAAACACATTTTTTCAAGAAACTTAATGCTCATAATTAATAAATCTTCTCTGTAGTACACACACAACGACGTAGACACTAATCCATACAACACAATTTAGATAATTTCTGCTGTTGATGCACCCCGCATAGTGCTACCTTCGAAGGTGATTTTTTTGTTTTCTCTGTTAATTTTAGCGTTTCATGTTATCTGTTTTTCTTCCTTTACTCGTTCATTCTTTTACAGACAACCAAAAGTATATTTTCTTGTATAATAAATAAAATAATACGTAAAATGGGAGTAAAGAGAGAAAAATTGAAACTCATGGATCATAAATCATAAAAATTCAATAAAAATCAAACTTCATGGTCGAATCCGCGGTGAATATTTATTAAAGTGTCACTCAAAGCGTCAATCAATAAAACAATCAGGCGCACATCACCAGCGTTCGAATGTCAAAACGTGTCAAATAACTTCGAAATTAGGCTCAATTTACTTTGCGTCGGAACGGATTGGAAACAAATTTTGGTAACGAAATTGTACATAGGAAAAAGTACATTATGTACATTGTATAACGTACAAATTAGATATGAGCCAAAAAAAACAAGTCGCGCATCTTCCGACGAATTCTCGCGCACGCTCGAGAATGCTCGCGCATTCGCGGGAATTTCCGCAGCTGCCTAAGCGACGCACGCCTGGCGAATTCGCGAGAAGCGGCGCGAAGGCAGGCGCAGTGACGTCAAACGTCGACGAAATAGGTTATATACGCTGTTGTGCATGCGACGATATAGATTATTGATTCAGATGAAAAGTAAATCTTTTTGGTACAAAAATATGATTGTACGATGTAAAATGGATGGAGATATAAATCTTTGCAAAATGTTTCATATTATCCAAAAAGTTTTTGTTTCTTCCGTAAATCATGAACCCAAATATCTCTTTTCCTTTTTCTATTCTTCTTCCTTTTTTGTTCTTCTTCTTCTGCTTTACAAATAAGTTAAATGAAAACAATACACAAGTCCACCATACTGGTCATGTAAAAGAGCTACACTGAACAACTGAACACCTACTACAGCCTCAAGGCGCAGTCGCAAGAAAGCTCGCGAATGCTCGAGCATTAGGCTCAATTTACATTGCCGCAAAACGGAATGGAACGGAAGCGCGCGCGTTCACCGGATTTCTCAAGCATTCGCGGGAATGAATGCGCTTTCAGGCTATAGTATTTCGTCAACGTTTGACGTTACACTGCACCGGCCTTCGCGCCACTTCCTGCGGATTCGCCAGGCGTTGCCTAGTCAGCAGCATTTGCGAGAATTCGCTGAAAGACGCGCGATTTGTTTTTTGGCTCGTATCTAGTTTATACGTTACACAATAGACATAATGTCATTTTGCTGTGTACAATTTCGTTACAAAAATTAATTTTCACTCCGTTCCGCCGCAATGTAAATTGAGCCTTAAAGCATTTATTTGCCAGCATTGACCTACTTGCCAGTCAAAAGATTCGTTTTTATTCATAATGACGACGACGACGACGTTTTACCGAATCTTCACGCTTAGAAAGTTTGGTTCAACTTCTTGGTTATTTTAATCGCTCATGGTGTGAGCGCGCGTTCCTTTAAATCAACAGAATAAAATGCCGACTTAAAGTAAATTAAAAACTACACAGTTGACAAGCAGTTTATTATAATCTAATACAAGTATTTCAACAAACAACAAGATAATTACATCCACTTAGAATGTTCATAAGTTACCTAATTATTGAAAAAAAAAAAAAAAAAAAACATTCGTAGCTTGCAAGTACTATACACATTTTTCCTAATAACAAAATGCATGAAACATTCACGAACTTTAAATCGCTTCTTTTCTTGAAAGAAAATAGTTTTAAATATGAAGTCAAAACTTTTAAAATATTTCTAATCGAAGTTATCATCATAATTAGTTATAAGTATTATATACAATAATAATAATAAAGTGTGAGAACTTGATCACCCAGAAGTGAGAAATACGCAACAGGATAATATTAAGAATTTCGGACAAAAAACATCGTCTGTCGTTTATTTTTCATTCGAGCAAAGTATATTCTAAAGAATTAATTTTGTTTTTATTGAGAAAATTCATTACGCTCGATTTTCAATAATACGTTTTAACGAAATGACGTTGATTACACAACACTTAGCACAGAATACCCTTATCACCTACAAGACGTAGTCACTATTCTTTTCTATTATGAAATTAGAGTTTACTATATCAATATATAGGACAACTAATTGCGTCTAACTCGCTCAATGTACTTAGTTTGAGTGAGGGCACTGGAGCCCATGGTAGGGTCCGTCATTCGGTTCCAGTCAGTCTGACCGACTACGAACCCGATGGCACGCATCTTTTCTTGTTGTCTTCTCTCTTCTATATCAGCCCAGCGTACCTGTTCCAATCAGTACAACGTCAATTCCAATTCTCGGTTCTTTCTCGCAGCTTTATAGCGCACACTCACCTTTGCTTTACGTTTACGAATTACGATAAAAATAAGAAAAATTGTCGCCAATAATTGCATTTGTTAATCATCGTCAAAACAACAATGCAGGTAAATTTCATAAGACGCAATGTTTTGGCGCCGGTAAAAAAGCGCTTTAAACAAAGCTGCTTAAAATTTTACGTGTGCGAGTATTATTTTATATAAATAAAAACGTGAGTTCAGTCCAGAAATCTGATTTCAAACTTAACTTTAAGTATAACCAAATGATCCGTTTCACTCGAAGGAGTGAAGTCATTCATTATGTAGAACAAAAACTTTCGACAACTTGTAAAATCATGGAAATAATCACCACAAGTGTAATTTCGTTTATGTAAAACTAGCGATCAGGGAAATCGCCTGACTGCAATGCTGTTGGCGTTTAAAAAATCGATTCAAAACGAGACAAATTACAGCACATAATGGATACTTACAGTCTTCTTCCCAGGTTTAGCAGTGTTTGGTTTCCAGTCGTCTAGTTGCAAGTAGTCTTCCATTGAGAGCTGTGATGGTCGAAGTGGCTTGCTGATGCCGTCGAGTCGTGCTGCAACAAAGCACAGACTCATTTACCTACTAGTCTAAACACGGACAAAATGCTGCAGAAATGAGGAACTATATATTGACATTTTGAACAATATAATAATTTCGTTACATTAAGCACTTCAGTCAATTAGCCTAAAATAATATAAAACTGAATAAAAACAGTGTCACTAATAACCTACCTAGTTGCGCGGCGTTGTCCATTTTCTCCCATTTCGAAGTAAAAACGTTTTCAACCTGTGATGAGGCAGAATCTTACAGGTTAAATTTGGAATGCTGGAAGAAAATTCATTAGCCCTACCTATCCCAAAACAATTAGCAAGTTTCTGAAGTAATCACAAATAATCTGGTGGTTAAAATGTACAATCGACTAAGTTATGCACAGCAATCACACTGTCAAATCCGTAAAAATTTAAGTCACAACAACTTATAAAAATAAACATTGCGTAATGCAGATGCAACATGGTGCATTGCATAAAGCATGCAGACCTGAGTAACTATGTGGTTCTTTAGATATTCCTTAGTGGAAATTTCGCAGACCGTGCATCATAAATATTGCCGTTTGATAAATCAGCCGTCTTCCAAATCCTAGGAAGCTTTAGCCAGTCCCTCACCTCAGTGTCAGTGACATCTTCAATGGTAATCACGTCATCGTCGATGGCATCCTCCATCTGCACATCGGTGATTGCAGCACTTTGGAGCAACGTTGTAGGGTCTAACTGAATATGATGGACTGGAGTTGGGAAGAACCGAGCAGTAATCACTTGAATATCCTCTAAGGTCCTATTATGGATGTTCCTTTTATAACAGACATTTGCATCTAGCTCCATTGTACATACATACACCTGAAAATGTTATAATTATTTATTAATTAAAATTCTAAGGATACATACAAAAGAACCATTGTATGCATTTGCACTGACCTGGAAGCCACTTTGTCTTGACACATTCCACACATCAGCATAACTTTTCAATTGATCGTTGACGGCGTCGTATATTAAGAATGTGAAGTATCCGTCAGTTAACGTCCTCTTAAACGCTCTTTTTAAGGAGTTAGTGTACGTTTCTTCGGATTTTTCATCATACTCATATTTCATTAGGGGTTTCTTGATCTGTAAAAAGGCTCAACATCATTATGGGTATATTACTTAATGTTCACATATGAAGGATCAAAGCTCATACAGTCTTTCCAGTTGTAGGATCTTTCTCCTCCACTTCACTCTCTTGCATGAAATAATCGTCAATAGACATGATTCGCGCTGCTCCCCCGTGTTCCGCTTCTCTATCCCTTATTAGTTTCGCTAGGTACGATTTACCACTACCAGGGGGACCTGTTATAATAAAATCTCGTGTTTTTATCATTTTATTCATATAAGCAAAATTCAATCATTTGAATAGGATTTCAATGATTCATACAAACCTCTTAATATAACAACTATCTTCTCAGGTCTCATGTCGCGTCCAGGCGGTTCTAATAGGTCATCAATCATAATAATATGCTTGGGAACATCAGTGTTCGGTTTTGTTTCATTTTCCTTAGGTTTTTTGGAATGATCACTAATCTCACTTTCTCTACTACGCCCTCTCTTACGGGAATCTTTTTCACGGCTTTTACTACGATTTCTACTGTCATCTCTTCTAAAATCCCTGTATCTATCTCTGCCCATATCTCTATCTCTTCCTACATCTCTATCTCTACCTAAGTCTCTTTCTCTGCCTAAATCTCTATCCCTGCCTGAATCTCTGTCTCTGCCTGAATCTCTATCTCTGCCTATATCTCTATCTCGTTCTCTATCTCTGTAAATGTCTTCCCGTCTCACATATTTGTCACGGTCATCTCTTCTTCTTTCTTCATATCTAGTGTCAAATCTTCGCCTATCATCATATTCATCTCTTGGCGGTGGTCTGCCACGGTAATCATCTCTAAGCTCTCTAGATTCATCTCTCCAGTCCCTGGGTTCTTCTCTAGGCATCCTTCTTTCATAATCTCTGCTAGGCGGTTCCTTAGAGAACCTATCTCCTCTATCTACTCGCTCAAAAAAATGTCGATCATCATCAAATCTTCTTGGTTTCCTTGTGAATAATTCATCCACCTCCTTTTCAAAATCCTTTTTCTTAAACTCTTCATCTTTTGACACATGATTGTAGTCAAACATATGTACAGGCTCAATAAAATCGCGTGCTAAAATAGAATATTAATCATTAGCATATTATCATTTTAGTTCAATAAATGTTTTAGAAACAACTAGAGTCAAAAACAATAAAGCTATCACAATAAAAATTGATATGAGTAAAGAAATAAATTCATTAATACAAAAAACAAAGTGCTATTAATTACCTTTCAATCTGAGAGGTTTGTGTTCATATTCAACAATAATGGATGGAGTAAATAATGGTTCTTCCACCCACTTTGGTCTTGGAGGTTGATTCATAGCCACATTATCTTCATTCATACTCCGACGATCATGAGGGCCTTTGTGGTAATCATTCATATTTTGTTGGGATGACATATCATGTAAAGGATGCCTATTGGGTGGAATTTTAGGTCTCATATTTGATGGCCCACCTCTGGGCGGCATATTAGGCCCTCCATATTGATTGCTCCCATCATAAAATTGTTCCTGACGCACATCTTGCTGTCTTTCAACATACAGTCTGTTCTGTGATTGCTGTTGTTGACCTAGATATGGACCTGCATCTTGTCTATTAAAAGGAGTGTTTTGTCTATTCCCATACTGATTATTGTAAGAAGGATCATTTCTGTCTTCCCACTGACTATTGGGAGGAGGCATGCGAAAGTTATTTGTATTATTTTGATTAATTGCAATTTGAGGTGGTGGCCCTGCTGAAATAAGAGGTGGTGGCCCTGCTGAAATAAGAGGTGGTGGTCCTGATAGCATATTGGCATTGAGGACATTGTTGGCAACAACTCCTGTCTGAACATTTCTTACCATATTTAACATACTCATGATCTTTTCGTCCCCCAATATATTGCTTATGCCTTTTGATATAGTAATTAAATCTGGACCTTTTGTTTGCCTTGGGTTTCCAGCAAGTTCTTCTGTGATATCAATAACATCTTGATTACTTGTAGCAGGTTTTTCAGTATCTGGTACTAAATCCAAACCTGGTATACCTTTTGCTGATCCACTAGCAGACAAAAAAGTTGATTTCTCTGCAGTAGAAGAGTAATTCTCATGATATGAATCATATCTATCCTGCGGTGCATCCTCAGGATAAACATTTTTCTTGATGTTCTGATACAACTTATTATCTTTATATTGAGCATATTGTTGGTTACTTTGTTTAGACACACTCTGACTACTGTTATAGTTTGATTGTTGAGAATGTTGAGTGTTACTATTTGTGTTTACAAAAGAAGCAGTTTTGTTTGTTGGAACTTGAATATTACCTGTTACAGGTGTGGGGATTATAGTTTGAGGTGTATTACTAAGCACATTTGCTGCTGGAGAAGTGATGCCTAGCAAACGTGCTCTTTTTTCCTTCATTTGCTGTTGGCGCTCCATAAGCTGGGCGCGACAAGCTTCAAATTTTTGTTCATACTCCTTATAGGCTTGTTTATCTGGATGATTTACATTATCCTTTTTCCATTTTTCAATCTCCTCTTCCCATTTCTGAAATTGGATATCAAAAGCCTTCTGCTCCTCTGCAAGCTTTTTCAGGGCATCAGCATTAACATTAGCTGCCTGATTACTAACAGGCTGGGTGTCATGGCTGGCAATAGCAATAGTAGGTTGTGACCAATTTTGAGTATTGCCAGTCATACTTGTATTGCTATACCCTGTGTTGTTGGTCTGCTGTGTTTGCATAGGTGGCGGAACTGGGGCTGGCTTACAATTGTTTCCATAGAGAGGTTGATTGTTCTCATGAGGAGGGGGTGGCGGAGGTTTGTCCGGCGGAGGCGGCGCCGGTGGCGGCGCACTGCTTGTAGGTAGCGGTGGCATAGCGCTCATCGTTTGAAATGCTTGCATTTGCGATACTTGCATATGAGACGCTTGCATTTGCGTGGCGTACTGGAATAACAGCATAATAAATTTATCAGACTATGTAAAATTTGTTTAAACTACTAAACAATTCACACAGTAAATATCAATGGCCAAGAGAAACTAACCTTCTCCCCATATTGGTTTTGCCATTGGGCATACTGTTGTTGCCACTGAGCCCATTGCTGCCAATTCTGTTGCTGATAAGCTGCCCACGCTTCAGGAGTAACCGCAGCATTGGTGGCCTCGCAGTTCCATTGACCCGTGGTCCAAGACATCTTGGCAAAATCTTAGTATGCAAAATATCCAACACGACTACATTCAAAAGCAAATAATTTGTAACACAACTAACACAATACTTGTTTGTTTAGTTGGTCGCAAATAATTACCGCTTTGTATTTTCTTAAATTAGAGAATAAAAACAAAATTGGTAGACACCAAAGTCTCATTCGCACAGCGTCAAAACGGGAGCCATTTTGTTTTTGCAATTGATTGATGACGTCATTCCCCACACTAGTGATGCTCGGTAGTGAAAAATTATGATAATAATCGATTACTCTCAAACATATTTAAAATATATTGTTTTTTTTTTTTCAAAATATGGAAATTTATTGAAATCAAGTTTATAATTTTAGGGTCGGCGGACTAAAGCACATAAATCAAAAAGTGCTTCATTTGTGAATATATTTTTTTGTGTTGTTTATAGTATTGGACGATGTGAAGAGAATGATAAATGTGAAAAAGACGCCTCTAGAATAAAGTTACAAATTTATGTAGTAACAAGTTAATTTGACTTATGTGCTTTACATATCTATTAATTTAAATTAATGATGTTGGATTTTGACTTATGTCCAACGACTCAAGAATTAAAGAAACTTACATAATCCGTAGGAGGTAATAAAATGGAACTGCTTGGACTACTATAATATGTTGATAATAATTTTGTCAAAATAATAAATTGCGTAAAATAATTTATTATCTTCTTCTCATTATTATTCAATTCATTGTTTCTTTTTTGCAATGAAATTTGTATTATAATTTTTTAACTTCTTTTTGGCATACGCAATAAAGTGGATCAGGCTGGAAGTTGGAGATCAGCAATATTGCTAACGACAGCTAGTTTCAAGGGAATGGTCCAGTTTGACAATAATTTATCCATATTGAATTTAGTGGTAGAATAAAATTGGTAACACCAAGCTTTATAGCGACTATTTGCGTAGCGCCGTTTAGCTTTATCCAATAATTTAATACTTAGTCTAGTTATTAGTTAGATAGCTAGTATAGTAGCTAAGTTGCTTAATAATGAGATTTTATTATTATCAATGGTCCGAATAGGGTGTTCCAAATGAATAAATAAATGTCTACGTATAGATACAAGGAGTGACATGGAGTGGCCAAAACCACCTAATATTAATTAATTACTTTTACGAATTCTGGATTTCCGGAAATACTTTTACTGCAATATAGAATAAACCTATTCACCTAGAAAGCTAAAGTTGAATTTTGCAGTTCTAGTTCCCCATTAATTAAAACTAATTTTTGCTTGTAACTCTTAAAATATGTTTACTTTAGTGAAAAGATAGTTTTTTTAATCCAACTTTAATTTCCTACTTATATAATTTTATCTTACGCTGCAGTAAACTGTTTCCGGAAATCCGAAATTAAAAAAGTATAGGTATAATTAATATTTGGTTTTAACCGCTCCATGTCACTTCTTATACATTTATGTAGACATGTATTTACTAATTTGGGACACCCTATTCAGATCATTTGATTATTATACAACTTGCAGTCTACAGTAATTCCTAAAATTAGGAAAGTGTGTATCATCGAAAGATATCATTTCGAGTGATTAAGTTATCTGTAAGAAGCAAACAAAAAATTCGGGTTACAACCTGGGAGAACATCAAATGAACTTACCGTAACTAGTCACATTTCAAACAAACTCATCAATCTGTAAGTGCAATAGCGCTCGCGCTCCACATTCGGTCCAAATTATAATATCATGCATGCACAGGGATTCTTCTCATTTAAGTAAGAACATGCTTTTGTTGGTGTGTAGCCTTCTCCATTCGTCATATAAAGGTATTCAGTTTGACATATAATATAAAATCATAGTCAAATTCTTCAATATAACGTTAGGAGTTAAAATGATGTAGCTAGACATTACAGCAAAAACATAGTAAACAAAATGCCCGATTGACAGCAAATATATACAGGGAAAAATAAACACATTTTTATCGTTATGAGTAATATTTAAATAAATTACTCAACGGTGCTAAAGTAAGTACAGTCTGAACTCGGGGTTTATTGAACAACATTCTTAATTATGTTCATTTCATTTTTGATAATTAAAATTTCATTTCATCCTATTTTAAAGCTCGTTAGAAACATCGAAAATATCTTTATCGTTTGACTTTTGTCGAAGATTTTGTAAAACCGATTATATCCAAACGTAAATTCTGTTAATCAATTTTATTTGTCGATATTTAATCGACACGCTGTACATCACTAAATGACGCCATTTTCACGTTGACTGTTGTGAATTCGTTTGTTGCGTTCATTGAATTTATTTCAGTTTAGTGGTGATGTTGTAATTTCTAGATTTTTAATTTAACATCAACAGTAGCTACATACTTCAAGAACTTTGGAGACGGAAATGTGCTGATGATATTTCCATAGTTTTTGTGGAATCGTCTGCGCGGGAAATGTGGTTACGTCTGTGACCTATCATCCTATCAATCGACTAAATAAATAATAGCTCTTGCTACACATAAAGAATGATTTCGAATAAAAGTCGAGAAACACGACGAGCTCGAATGCCTAAGATGTCTAAAAATATAGAACGTTTGTACAAAGAAAGCAAATGTAATGAGTGTTCAGTGGTAGTGACGCGAATGGACTTTGCTAAGATATTGGGCAAATTCACCAAAGTGAAAATACAATACGAAAGCTCCGCGCTCAGAGGTAAGAAAAATAATCAACAAGTTACTTCGCCAAATTCAAGATTGAAAAGCAATGAGAATGGTATGGTTCTTATACATAGAAAAGCATACAACCAACACCCTGTAAAGGAGTTATTGAACAGCAAGGCTACCAAAGGTAATGAAACCCCAGCCAAGAGTAAAAATGCCCTAAAGGAGAATAGCAAAATCAGTGCGGCATCAACACCACGACAATCAAATAATATATTAAAAGAGAATAACAGGATAAAGAAAATAGCTGCAGACGAGAAGAATGGTAATTTATATTTTAAGAATGTGATCAGTTCTAACTTAAAGACGTATGGCATTGTATTTGTAAAGCCCCTGGTAAATAATAGTAATGATCATAAAAGCAAATTGTCGCTAGCTGACATTTTGCCTTCTATCAATGCAAGTTTACTACCGTCTGAAGAGTGGTGCATAGACTACTTACCGAAAAATGGCGAACCCAAAGAAGACAAGGTTTATGACAGAATAGCAGCAGAACTAGAAGATTTGATGAATAATGAAACATCAGCTATGAAGTCCGAAAATAAAGAAGTAACAGAGAACAAAGATGATTTTCCGTCTATCATGGATATTCTCAATGAAAATACAAGTGGAAGTAACCCATCTAATAGCCAAAGTGATTCTATGGAATTCAAATCGAATCTAGAATCAAGTGATGATGTTGAAGCTATTTTGCTTGGAAAATCAAATGACAGCAAAGCAGCTCTAACCCCTATGGAGGTTGATAATCCTGATATGACCAATTTAATGGATGTTGTTCAAATGAACACGGCCCAAGAGGCTGGTAAATTGCCAGATACTTTGGGAGAAGAAATGGACAATCCTCACAGCCCCTCCATTCTTGATGAAGCTCTGCAGAAAGGAATTGAGGAACACCTCCCAGCCATATCTGATAAGGTTGATCCAGAAATAGGTGACAGCACAAAAACTGAAACAAGTGACACAACAGACAACTCCACTGCTGGAACTGTGGATAAAGAGAACAAAGATTTCCCTGTAATAAATTTAAACACTGTAACTCATGTTGTATTCAAAAGAATTTCAAATGGAGTATGTTACAAGTCAGTAACATGTCCAAAGAATCTGAAATACAGTGTGGAATTGGAAGGCAAATTTGTTGAATTCCTTGGGGCCCCTAAATTTATTTCTAGCCTAGAAGATTTGCAGGTACTATTGCAAATTGTACACGAGAGTGACTTAGACAGTTTATATGTTTTACATTAGTATATTTAGTTGTATACATGGATTTGTAACTATTTATGTTCAGGAAGATTTTTAATATTATTTTTATCACAAATGCCCTCAGTGCACTTTATCCGGCATAGACTTGAAGGTGGTATATAACAGTACCTGTAATTATACATTATGTTTTTACACATTAGTGTCAATACATCATTGTTTTCCACAAAAATGTTAATATGGTATATCAGCAATTCTACGATTTCATTTGCAGCACTAACAATATAATACATTAGAGCTTCATGCTTTATCTATTTGTTTTGTAAATTTTTCATAGATTTTGTTCCAAAAAGTTATTTAATGGATGGGCTCAATTGTATTGTGTTTTATATTGTCACAACTAAAACACTATGATTAACATTTTAATACAATACAGTGAGGTTAAAACACAAAACTGCAAAAACCTTGTATGAACCTGGACTGTCATGTATCAACCTAAGGTGACATTAGAGCTCTTGTATACAAGTTAATACACACCTAGTGGACTAGTATTTCTCTTCAAAATTAATAAATATAGTAAGGCTTGAAAGTTCATATATATTATGTATTCGACATGTAATAGACTGAAAATAGGACATGCACTAAAATGTTACTTTTAATTAATTAATTAACTTATATAATTCTGAATACAAATTAACGAAAATCAATAGAGCTTATTCATTTGTAAAAATATGCTCTAGATTGACCATTACTATCATGAATAGACAACATTAACTTCCAAATAAAAAAAAATACAATGAAAACTCATTATTATTCAATTCATTGTTTATTTTTTGCATTCTGTATTTTGTGGACTTGCTGAACATAAAGGTATAATTATAAGTACATAAATAACTATATTATTATGTATAATAAAACTATTTAGAATTTTAATCAAATATGTTTATTACAGATTATGGTAATGTTTTTCCATTACCATTTTGTAGCATCTACATGAAATGTGTATTTAACTTGTTATTTAAAAACGAAACCATAAAAAAGGCTGCATAATTTTTTTTTATAATATACGTATAGTTGCAAAGATACAATTACATTCAACGATTATCTCAAGTTTCATCAAAAGATTCCATGGATCTATTAAAATTGGCTTTTTTCGATTAGATGCTTATTTTTCCAACACCAATTATTTTATGTAGAAAAAATTTACTAAAAGATCGATTTATCGTGTGTGGTGGGTTTCATAAACTTAAGAATACCATAATTGCATTATACTTGTGTTTTTTCCCCGATTATTTATTTTATTATTGCACTTTCATAATCATAAGATACGAAAAATCGGCTATTTTATCGAACAACGTCGATGTGCGAACGCAGCCTAATTCGACTTGTCAACATTTTGCATCACTTGGGTTAGAGTTGTACCAAATCATATCCGGAATCGTTTTGCATCCGGATTTCAATTCGATAAAAATACAATGCCGTCACTTATGCGTGATAAGGCAAACAAAAAGGAACTACAGCTATCGCGTTGAGAAATGTCAAACGAATTATCGGTCACTAAAGTAACTAGCAACATTGCGTACACTTGCAGGCTTAGCATGAGCCCGAAGACAAAAGTTATCTCTTCTTCGAACTGTCAATTTTCTCTCGAAAATCTCGAGAAAATTGGCAGTTCGAGGAAGAGATAACTTTTGCTTTCGGGCTCATGCTAAGCCTATTGATTATAAGTTAGCGTTAACCGTAAATTCTAAAAGTAACGGTTCACTTTGGTGGGCGATCGAAGTCATTACCTGTAAGTGTTACTCACTTTTCTACTACAAGTTTACCTTCTAGAGTGAACAACATAAATGTAAACTGGCAACAGAGAAGAGATCACAGAATTTTATTCCGCTTGAATGTTCCCATGCTTTTTGCATATAAATTTTAATCGTTAAATGAAATTGTGCATACAATGTGGGTATAAATAAGACGTGTTTAATTTACTTGATTCACGTACTGCACTGTTTTACGGAACGAGAAGGAAATAACTCTTGTTTATTTTGTAATAACTCCATCTCTCTCTGCAGTACGACGAGCTGGATCGTGAATGTGAAGCACACTTGTTTGTTGTGTGACAAAACACATGCATGGAAACAAAGATGCTAACACACCTAGATCATTTTGTGATTTTTTTAAAATACTTTGTTGCCCACCTATGTACAAAGGTGGAACAATACCGAATTTTAATTGTAACATACCAACTAACGAACGATTTTACATTATAAATGATTCTAAACGTATGATAATTTTATGACCCTTAGGACCATCTTTTCCATTTCTTTTTTTGTTTGTTTGCTTGAGTAGACGTAAGTTTGGGTTAATGATTCGTTTTGTAATCTTGTAATAACGGTTCTTGCTATGTTTAACTTTAACTAAGAATGATTAGTCTTTATTATTAATTACTACTTACAATATTATAACCTCAGAATTGAGAATAAAAATTTAAAATATTATATTTGCTTTTATTTTGAAAATTCTGTTACAACAATTTTCTAGGATTAAAAACATTTTTTATTTTATAAACTTATATACTCATATTCCTTAGCAAAAGGTTTATAATCTGTAGGGTAGCTTGTTTGTGTACCTTCCCGTGTAACAGAGATCGTAGCAACTTCGCATGCAGCGCCTATTATTTGGTGCAATGGGAGAGTTTTATATTTGACTAAAAATGTAGCCAGAGCTCCCACAAAAGCGTCGCCGGCACCCTGAAATATTTAAATATAGGGATGGATAATTAGTCACTCCTTATATAAAATAATTTGAAAGAATACATGCCTATTAAACCGAAATATAGCGTATACAAAAATAATGAATTTACATTATTTTTGTTCACTTACAGTTGTGTCCACTGGCTTAACGCTGCGCGTTAGGACGTGTATTCCTTTGCGATCGTATTTAGTTGCATACACTGCTCCCTTTTCACCCAGCGTTATAACAACTGTCTCACACCCAGTGTCTAGTAATCTGAGTAGAGCATGTGCCGCATTGCTGTTGAAAAACAGAAATTGTTTGGTACTATATAGTTTTTATTGCCACTTGCTATAAAAATGCTATTCATAAATTGATTTTACTTACGATAATGTAACAGAATTATTTGTGAGGTAAGAAGCTTCACTTTCATTCACACAAAGTATAGAACAGTACGGGAATATTTCATGAATGTCTTGCATTGCAGGTGCAGCATTCAATAGTCTCAGCTAAAATAAAAATAGATACTTCAGATCCAAAAATCAGTTGTAAACTAATTCATAATACACAATTTGTATAACTTACACCCTTATTTAATTTGAAGGCTTCCAGGGTTGTCTCATATGGAATTTCTAGTTGACCTATCAGAATATCAGCATTCTTTATAAGTACAAGAGCCTCTTGAACGTCTGACTTGCTGAGCAATTTATTTGCACCAGGGACGATTACTATTTGATTCTCTCCATTTTCGGCAACCGATATTTGAGCGATTCCAGTCATTGAATTTGCTGCATTATGGCTATATGTAACATTTACACCACATTCCTTTAAATGTTCTTTATATTTCTTGCCCCATTGATCGTCTCCTAACTGTAAAGAGACAATAAAACGTTGGTTGGTCTCAAATGTACCAGAGTAAGCGAATAACTTTTACAGCAGAGGTTATCGTTACTTATATCTAAAAGATAAACGAAATGTCATTTGTAAAGTACTTACTTTACAAATCATGTGAGCGTTGCCACCCAACTTTGCTGCAGCTACACATTGATTAGCTCCTTTCCCTCCATAACTGGTAACGAATTTGGTCCCATGTAATGTTTCTCCCGGACTGGGAAGTCTTGGAGCATATCTGAAAGTATAAAAGTGGTTTTTTAGATCCCAATATACTAAGCCACGAAAAATATGCGAACGGAACTAAAAACCTCGGACTATCTTTGTAATTTATGCCTCAGTCACCTAAAACTGCTATAATTTGTGGACATTCGCACCGCGGGTGTAAAACCCGCTTTAACGCGGCACGTATTAAAGGAAAAGATGTCAACCGCGCAGTAAGAAAAACAGTTGCGAGCGCTCGCAATCAGTTGTGGATCTCGCATGCTTTAACGCTTGCACTCTAACTCGCTCAAAATCGCTATTACACAATTGGCTAAACCGCACCGAATACGTCACCAGTTTGGATAAAAATGTCCACCTAATCGGATTTATTATAATTATATCCGATTATGTGGCCCGAACGACCTCTATATTAGACATAGGATTTTTTTTCTTTTAATAAATTAATGTCTTAGTATAGAACTTTGAATAACTTAGAACTTGTTTACTCAGCACAGTCTAATAAGAGAAGCATATTATTATTGATTAAAGGTTAGATACTTGTAGAAGCGCAGTAAGTTACATAAATTAAGGACTAAATGCTGTAGATAACATGTTAAAATAATGTGTTTCAGAAAATACGTACGTTGTAAAATCTACACTGCACGATCCAATAACAACAATTTTTGGTTTAGATTCTGATGTCATTTTTACAATAAAATAATTGAGTATTGTGCAGAAACGAACGTTTATTGCGAGATGAGACAAGCTTGAGTTATACGACTGCAATGAATAAGAGCTATCATACAATGCTGATAAAGATTAACAACCAAGATAACCTATTCTCGTCAAGGAAATATTATTATCCACTTAGCAATTATGAATGTTATAGAAATTGTAGTAAAGTGCAAATTACAATCACATATCGACATTTGGAAATAGGGTTGCTCTGATCGGAGTTTTTTTGTCGGGATCCGGAAAAAAATAAGCTTTTGGTTGCGTGCATTTTTCTACTAACCTATTGTTGCCAACTAGTGATACAATGGTATTACCATAAAATATGGAGAAATCGTTGGTGCACATTTTTTGTCTGTGATTAGAATGATTAATTAATTTACGTAGAATTTAGTGTTTCAAGCAACAGCTTTGTCACAATTAAAATGATTTAGTTAAAGGAGCTGGGTGTTGACAAGAATTTAGCATTACATAGAATTTAGATATTGATCAGGTTGTTTGTAGCATTGAAATATTTGTTATAGTATAGCCCACATCCCATTTGTATGTGGATCTAGTACTACAACGCATTTATTATATAGACATGCGCTTGACAATGTTTCGAAAATTAATGCAACTTCATATTACATTTCCATGAGTAATATGACAGTGTAATGTGTAATACCTATTAACATCCGTGCTAGATTTACAATTGTGTTAAAATATGCATCACTCCGTGCTTGCTTTGCTACTTATTAATATATATTACCATCACTCACACTAGCGATGCGCTATTCCGAATAATTTCGATATTCGACTCGTTAGTAATTATACTAATCGTGGCATTCCAATGAGAAATTAGTAACCTATAATCTTAGAATAATAACGCATACAATGATAGTTTCATATCAAACGAACTGTCACAAGTGAGAAAAACCAAATTCATGAAGGCGTAAGCAACTTGTATCTACGCTCGTCGGCACGCACACAAATATACAAATAATGATGCCATGGAATAACATTTCCCTCAAAAGTGGGGAAATTGTATCTTGCTTAACTCATCATTAAGTTAAAGGTGCCTACAGATTTGCCCAACATTGTCGATCGTACCTACAGATATGCTTGGTTTTGTCGATCGACAATGTCAAGTGACAAGAATTTTCAAAAATTTATTTTTGGTAATCCTTATGGAAATGGCATTTATATCTGAATACACGATGACGGACACGACTTTTCAAATAAATGCAATATGGGAATCATTTTCGAGGTATTCGAGGTGCTCATTACGAATATGGCATTCACTTCTAAATCCAAGATGACAGGCACGATTTTTCGAATAATGGCAAGTTGGGTATCGTTTTCAAGGTATTTGGGGGTGCTCATTACAAATATAGCATTCATTTCTAAATCCATGATGGCGGATACGAGTTTTCAAATAAATGCAATATGGGTATCATTTTCGAGGTGTTTGGGGGTGCTCGTTAAAAATATGGCACTCATTTCTAAATCCAAGATGGCGGGCACGATTTTTCAAAAAAATGCTATATGGGTATCATTTTCGAGGTATTTGGGTATGCTCATTGTGAATATGGCACTATTTGTAAATCCAAGATGGCGGCCACGATTTTTCAAATAATGGCGAGTTGGGTATCGTTTTCGAGGAATTTAAGGGTGATCATTACGAATATTGCTTTTGTTTGAACTGTCGTGTCTGCCATCTTGGATTTAGAAATAAGTGCCATATTCGTATTGAACATCCCCAAATATCTCGAAAACGATACCCAACTTGTCATTATTTGAAAAATCGCGCCCGCCATCTTGTATTTAGAAATGAGTGCCATATTCGTAATAAGCATCCCCAAATACCTCGAAAAGGATACCCATATTGCATTTTTTTTAATTGTGTCCGCCATCTTGGATTTAGAAATAAGTACTATATTCGTAATGAGCACCCCCATACATCCCGTAAACGATACCCAGAATCAAAATCAAAATAATCTTTATTTCATAGGTAAGCATTATTACACTAGGGGTCGTATTCCAGAACTCTACTCAATGCCTAAGTCAGGATTTGAGTATGGTTTAAAGCACTCGAAATCATACTCAAGTCCCTGCCATTAGGGTCGTATTTCCAGTGCTTGTGTTTCCAGTGCAATCCTGACTTGAGCATTGAGTAGAGTTCTGGAATACGACCCTAAAAATCGTCACATTGGTTAAACTCTACCGCTCATTCGTAAGGCAGATTCCCCCGAGAAGTATGAGCAAGAAACTCTAGGGGTTGCTCTTTGTAAACAACATTTGTACGCATTTAACTTGCAGAAATGGAGGTCAAACGTACATTAGAATAGAAAAATCTATATATAAAATAGAAAAATCTGCAGCCATCGCAATATTGCCTATTCTCAAAAAATTACGTAATATAATTATTTTGAAACAGAATAGCAAATTTGGGAGTAAGAAATCCGTTACTTTGCAACATTTTCGTGTCTTGTTGCAACGAAATTAATTTTCGGTTTTAGTGAATATTAAGTTTATATAAAAATACAAATTGAAACGCGTTACTTCCTTGTGGAATGTGATGTTAGTAACTATTTTATGTTTGTCTGACGTATTTTTACACTCATTTACCGCACATTTCGTCATTTTTAGCTAAAATTCTTGCACTTTTCGCGGTGCAAGTTGAGCTTGAGCACTGAAGGCCCGCCCGCTCGTGTAGGCCCATTGGGAGCGCTTCAATTTGCCTCACTTAGCGTGTGCGGACTAGGTTTCTATGCGTTATTATTCTAAGCCTATAGTAATAAAATTCGTATTCGAATGATCGGAATGTTCATTTATTACTAATCCATAGATTTAGTAGAACATTGTTGCTCGTGATCACCTAGCCTTCTCAGATATGGTAAATACCATAAATATGACGGGGACAGCGATATTTTAAATATGCAATCATGGTGAATGATCGTGGAATTTCGAATAGTTACGTCCGACATATTAATCATTTCACTCGTGCACGTCGAATGGCAATCGGTATCGGTAATCATTTGACCGAATGGCTCTCGCGGGCATTCGCGGTCTCTCACGAGCACTCGGAGGTACTCGGAGGCACTCGCTCACACTCTTGCTACCTCGCACATCTCTGGTGGAATCACGGCCTAATCAAATCTCGGTTGTCACATTACAGGCGAATGCTCGTCGGTGTGGGAGGCAGTATTGTAATATAATGCTCGAAAACAAATCTCGAGTTACATTATAGGCGAATGTTTGCGGTGAGGGAGCGCCCTAATGTAGATACGTATTAGGGTGCGTACAGATCAGGCCAATGCGCCGCTTTGTGAAAGGCTCGCGAGTTGCACACGTGCATTACGTTGTGCCATCTGTTCGCGAGCCATATAAGTATATTAATATGTATTTAATTGCATTGTTCCTAGTTCGTATTAACCTAAAAAGACCGATGATCTATTAAGACCGTGCAGGACGAACTAGTAAATGTCGGTCAGTGTTGAGAATATTTATTTATTATACGTTCATGAACTATACAAGCCTACTTGGATTCGTCTGGCGAATGTTTGCCCATTCGAATAATCAGTATTAGTAACACAGGAATATTCTTTGAGTAACATTTATAGTCGCGCATCATCGCTAACTCACATTACACATTATCTGTTCCGACATTGCTGCGACCGAAACGCATAAGGGCGCTCCCTCACCGAGAACATTTGCCTGTAATGTATTCTATTATATTTTTAAGTTTCTGGCTTATCTTCTAGAATTTTGCCAATGTCATGTCAGTCATGGGAGTTATACTTTCGTTTTTCGGATGTTTAATTTATTAACACTGCTCTTTAGTCTATTCCGGCTTCTGGAACAATACAGAACATATAAAAATATATTTAATTAAATAAGTTTTATAATTTAAGTTTGTTAGTACTAATAAAATCAGTTATTAATTCTAAGAGGGTATTTGTAAAAACATATAACAGAAACTTGAGATTTACGGGGCGAGGAATAGGAGGTGGAAGACTATCATAAATACGACACGTTCTGGTAGGGCAGCTGAAAAATATGTAGTCTGGGGTGTCTTCATTCAGGCAACATTCAAGATTCGTTTGCAAGCATTACATTACAAACTACCTCCCTCAACAGCGAGCATTCGCCTGTGAACATTCGTTTTTGAGCATTACATTACAAATTACCTCCATCGCCGGCGAATGCCTTTGAGACACATTCGCTTGTAATGCAACATAATATATTATAATATTATGTAATGTAACATACATTATATAATATATTATAATATTATGTAATGTAACATATACATCGCATAATGCTATAACTCTAATGTATACATAAAGACATACCTTTGAGCAAATGACTTCCAGTATAAACAAAATGTCGCAGCATTACTACGCAGCAGGTGGAGCCTAAAGTTGACAAAGTATTACGTGAAGTAAGGGTCTTTCACATTATGTCGTAACGTTTTATTTATCGTTAGACGACTGTCGCGTATAGCCTATTTCCATATCACGACTATCTGTCGTGATTGTGCCGTGGACATTTATTTTATCGTTGAACGACTGTCGTGTCTAGCTGTTCCCAAGAGATCGTGACGACAATTTATCGGTTCACGGCAGTTGCGATTATCTGTCGTAACTTTTTATCGTGACGTTTTATTTATCTTTAGACGACTGTCGTTTTACCTCTTCCCTTTGTCACGACAGTCTGTCATCGTAAGGGTGCGTTCCCATTATGTCGTGATGTTTTATTTATCGTTGAACGACTGTCGTGTCTAGCTGTTCCCACTAGATCGTGACGACAATTTATCGTTTCACGGCAGCCGCCTTCTCGTTAGCACGAGAGAGTCGTTTGATGCACTGCAGTTGCTTCTATGTTTTTTTGGAAGACAGTAGTGTGTGTTCGCTCCCGTGTGACATGGATAAAGATGAAATTATAATAATGTATTACTTTTTTTTTAAAGGCGGAAGAGGAAGCAAACGAAGAAAAGAAAGTTTTGGGTACATCCAATCATTGTTGTCAATTTGTGGGAAATTCCCCAAATTGCGAGGAATTTCAACTACATTGGTGATTTTGTGGAGATTGGCGCTATGTGGGGAAAATGTGGGGATTCTAACATTTTATGATTTTGTTTAATCTATCGATTGCTTGTATCTATCGATGCATCGCCAGTTTGATCGTTATTATTAGAAACACTGTGATGAACTATATCGATGTGTTTTTCAACATCGCACATCACTCGCATTGTTAACAAGCAGCTTAAGTAGAATTATTATCAGATCATCTTGGTTCTGAATTGTAAAATGGGAAATATTTAAATGCATATCAGAAAACTCAATACACATAAAAGTATGTTCAATATTCAAATAACTTGCACATCTAAAAAAATATTTCACTACAAATAGGACAACTGTGTAACAAAACTAGTATCAAAAATAATTTAAAAACATGTATCAAAACTAGACCTCTGCTAATTTCTCAGTGGATAACGAAAGTGTTCATTTAAAACTAACTTACTCATTGATTTTTTCTAACATTAATCATAGTGTCACCAAATGCGCAACAAAATAATTAAGTTACTTAATTTTGTAAGGCAAAGAAAAAATTTGATTAATGTTGAATCTGATTAAAATAAATAAACGATTTAAGTTCATATAATTTTACAATTTGCTTTACATTTTACATTGTTTACATTCACAGCAAACTTAATAGGTGGTTAAATTTTGAGTGTCTGAATTCTTTATTATAATAATTTTTAAGCGATGTGTTTGTAATAAATAATGAAAACTCAAGATGTGGGGAATTTGTGGGGAATATGAACTTTGTTCTCCTTATTTTGAACAATTGGCATTAGCAACGCTGCATCCAATGTTATTAGAAAGAATTCCATTAGGATTATGTCAAACGTTTCTGAATATACTGAAAAGTGATGAGAGAAAATTTTGGGACTATTCAAGAATTTCATATTTTGTAATAATATGAGAAACAGGCTAGACGCGACAGTCGTCCAACGATAAATAAAACGTTACGAATAGTTACGATATAATGGGAACGCGACCTTACTTTTCCCATTGTCACTACAGTTTGTCGTCGTAACGACAAAAAGTCGTGAACGACAGTTAATCGTGTCGTATTGTATATAAACAACTTCATTTAAATATTCAAACCACGATACTGTAAACTGCACGACATTCTGTCGTCACTATATAATGAGAACGCGCCCTTAAAGGGACGGTAAAATCATGTATACATATATTTATATAGTGGCTTGAAGTACCTACCTAAAGCTGTTTTACATGATCTAGTTTGCGGTTGATCAGAACGGGGCGTGCCCATGTGCCGAATTGAAATAATTTGAGGACGAATTAATTTCAAGTAATACGTCTTTCTAATTTGTGATATGTAATGGAGGTAAGTAAAATTTTTTAGTCCAACGGGACAGGTTGAGGAATCTAATTAGGCATACCGCATCCAGATGTTAGATTTCAATTTTTCTTCAATGAAAACTTCTATTCAATCAATTAGTATATAGTATATAGTATCCATTAAACTTCGACTAAAAATTAATTCCTGTAAGCTATACTGCCAATAATAAATAAAGAAACCCGCCATTTTATTCTTTTTGGTACTGTTTGTTCCATTGGAAAAGGCAAAGGCACTAATTCGCCATACAGCCAAGAATTCGTCAATGTCTATGGATAGTAGAGTCAAGATTTAAAAATTTTTAAGTGTGTGGATGGCAACCACAGACATTTATCGTAAGTAGATGCCGCAGGTACAGCAATTTGTATGAAAACCAAGCGCGCCACGTTTTTTGTACCTACTATGACGTCACAAGACTATTTAGTGATGGATACCTCCTTCCGCTCGCCTAAATCGATTGATTGAACGAAATACGCATAAACACGCGTATTCCATTTAATTAATCGGTTTTAAATAGAATATTTTTTGTTGAAATATTTGTTGATTACAAGTAGTCGTAATATTAATATAGTAAAAAAATACTATATTATAACTCCTTTATTTCACTTGTTTTGAAAAATGTTGATTACTTAAAAAAATTAAGACTAATTTTTAATCGACTTCAATTATTGAATTTATTGTCCTTCCAATAAAATGAGCTTATTATATAACATCTTTTTGTAATAGAAGATCTTATCGATTAACTTAAATATTGAAAACTGACATCAATATATGAACTTGCAACTCTTGGTAATTGATCAATAATGATGAATGGCAATACAAATGAAAATGTTCATCGTCATATCAGCCGGAAGACGTCCACTGCTAAACATAGGCCTCCCTAAAAGATTTCGAAGACGCGACGTGCCTCCATCGGTTACCCGCTGCCCTTACCAGGTCATCCATCCATCTAGCAGGGGGCCGTCCCACTGAACGTCTTCCGGTTCGTGGTTTCCATTCAAGAACCTTTCTGCCCCAACGGCTGTCAATTCTACGAGCTTTGTGCCCTGCTCACTGCCACTTCAACTTGCTAATCCTTCAAGCTATGTCGGTGACTTTCGTTCTTTTACGGATCTCCTCATTTCTGATTGAAAATGTTACTGCTGACAAAATATGGTAAAATCTAATTAATTAGAAGAGGTTTACTTAATGAGGGCCTCGTGTGAAATTTTTGTGATTTGTTTATTATTTCTCAGATTTCTAACTCTGCAACTCTGCATATTTGGATAGCGTCTTAATTGGGATAAACTAGACCACCTTCGTCCTCGAAAGAAACGAACTCATACGTATGACCAACTCCAGGTTTTTGTAAAGACAGCGCACTGTTAATTCTTTGCATTATATAGTTTTTGTGTATTACTCGTACTACATATCCGGCGATGTATGCAATTATTTGCTCACTATATTCGGACATTCGAGGCTTCGTGCTGCAAAAATTATCGAAATTACACATACTACTGATAATAGACACTACAAAACTGAAAAAAAAAAACGAAACGATACTAAACGTTTTAACAAAAGAGTTATAGAATATTTTTATAATATTTTATAATATAAGATCATAATAATTTTCGTCTCTTTGTTTTCAAAATCGATCAGAATAGAGACAGTGTTGCCTAACGTATACATCACTAAATTTTAAATTTGATCAAAAGAATGTACAAGCGGCCGTACCACGAAACTGAATGCAATGCATGTTATGCAAAAGTGCGTTCGTTCGATATTCATGGCGTATAACTTGAAAGATTTGAGGCCCGCGGCGATAACCTCTGTATCTAGCTCCTTCGCGAGCCCGCGGATGATAACGCGGAGGACGCGTTCCTTGGGGAGTGCGTAAGTGTAGTACTATACACTCATCTCATTTAAAAGACGAATGAGGCGGGGGTGGTCTGACGACGATTGGACCTTACGTTAATGCCAAGTTCGGACGCCTTGGCTTTAAGGAAGTTGATTGACATAACTTTTTGGCACTTTTTGAGGTGCGGGGGGGGGGGGGTAGTACTACAAGCAAACAGGTGCACTCAAATGCAATATTGAGTTGTGTCGCTATGGTCTGACACAAACAAAAATCGACAACACTAGCACACTCCGGACACTCCATACAACGGACGAAAATTATTTACGTACTACTACTACATACAGCAAGGCGCTATCTGCACACGCTCAAATGTGTGCGTGAAGTGGCAGGATTACCCATCACTTGTTCGTACTATTTATTACGTTACGTGGTCAGAGCGGCAACATAGCGAAAATTCTAACGCTAATCTGTTTTGTATCCATAATTCTATTATAGAATCCTAATAATCACACATGTTCATTACGTATGTATTTATATCGATATAATATTATATTTTTCATTAATTCACTAACTAGAATAATATTGAAGATTTATTTAAAAAATATATTATAAGCACATAAAATGTTATATTTTGGACAGGTACCTTTAAATAAAGTAACCAAAGTATTTGAAATTGCGTGTCCAAGTTTATCATTACCTAGTTGATATATATATATCAACTAGGTAATGCACCAGGTATATTCACTACGTAATATTTATCGGTAAAACAAATAGAATATTCAAGAACCATTGTCTACCTCACGAAATTATGGCGTCTTATTATATTGATATAATAAATCTTTATTATATATTACTCTGCACTAAAGAAACAATAATTGACCGAGTCTCGGATATAAGTTTTTTTTTACTTACTTCGTTTCATATTTCAAAAAACGAAAGAAACTCCTCTCTTTACCCCGTTTTGATGATTATAAACAGCCGTACACAGCACAATACACGACCATTATAAATAGTAACATAAAATGATGTCATATATTAACGTACAAATTTCGTAATTAATAAATGAAAACTATAATCAAATATGAAAGCCGTCTTAGCGCGAAAACGGCTCGGCGACAGCCTTGTTCTCGTTCAGTCAATGTGACCGTCAATGTGCGGGGCGTAGTGCGGTATCTAAAGCTAGGGAGGGGCGGAGAGTGTCCGTTCTCGTTACTTATTTGTTCTTTGACTAGAGATGGGTTTTACCCGATAAATATCCGGCAAAGGATAAATATCCAATAAATAACCGTTTTTATTGAGTATTTTTCCTAAAACATGGATATATATTTTTTTGTGTTTTTTATAATAAAATTCATTAGAATTATTTTTTATTAAATAATTACGTGCGATTACTTCTCATTTGGCATTGTTTTATATAAGGGCGCTTTCTAACCGGCGAGCATTCGCTTGTGAACATTCGTTTTTGAGCATTATATTACAAACTACCTCCTTCAACTTTTAAACAATTCGATTAGGCTGCGATTCCACTAGAGATGTGCGAGCTAGCAAGGCGTGCGTGCGAGTGCCTCTGAGAGCCCGCGAGTGCCCCCGAGAGCCCACGAGAGCCGCGAGTGCCTTTGAGTGCCCGCGAGAGCCATGTGTGCTTTTCATTGCCTTTAAGTCCTTTTGAGTGCTAGCGAGTGCCTTTGAATGCGTTTGAGAGCCCGCGAGTGCCTTTGAGTACTAGCGAGTGCCTTTGAGTACTAGCGAGTGCTTTTGAGAGCCTTTGAGTGTCGTTGAGTGCTTCTGAGTGCCCGCGAGTGCCATCGAGTGCCTTTGAGTACTAGCGAGAGCCTTTGAGTGCCCGCGAGTGCCTTTGAGTCCTTTTGAGTGCCAGCGACTGCCTTTGAGTGCCAGCGAGTGCTTTTGCGTGCATTTCAGTGCCCTTGAGTGCCCTGGAGTGTCTGCGAGTGCCTCTGAGTGTTTTTGAATGCCAGCGAGTGCCTTTGAGTACCAGCGAGTGCCTATGAGTGCCAAAGTCTGTTTTTGAGTGCCCGCAAGTGCCTTTGAGTGCTTTAAGTGCATTTGAGTGCTTTTGAGTGCCTCTGAGTACCCTCGAGGGCCTTTGAGTACTAGCGAGTGCCTTTGGCTGTCCGCGAGTGCCTTTGATTGCTAGCAAGTGCTTTTGGGTGCCTTTGAGATCGCGGGAGTGCCCGCGAGTGTCTTTGGGTTCACGCGAGTGCCTTTGAGTGCCTTTGAATACTCGCGAGAGCCAGGAGTGCCGGCGAGAGCCTTTGAGTGCCGCATTTTCGAAATATTACAAAACAAACTAACTTAATCTTTTTTTTGTAATAAGCAACCAAAATCCCCTGAATGCATAACAATAAGCATTCAAAGGCACTCGCGGGCATTCATTGGCACTCGATGGTGCTCAAAGGCACTTAAAGAAATCAAAGGAAATCAAAAATGCTCAAATGCACTCAATGGCACTCGCGGGCACTCATAGGCACTCAAAGGCACTCAATGGCACTCAAAAGTACTCGCGGGCTCTCCCGGGCACTCCCGGGCACTCAAAGGCACTTGTTGGCACTCAAAGGCTCCCATAAGCTCTTGCTAGCAATCAAAGGCACCCAAAAGCTAGTACTCAAAGGCACTAATGGGCACTCAGTGGCTCTCAAAGGAACTCGTTAGCTCTCAAGAATAGACTTTGGCACTCAAAAGCACTCGCTGGCATTCAGTGGCACTCAAAGGCACTCGATGGCACTCAAAAGTACTCAAAGACGCTCGCTGGCACTCAAAGGTACTCAAAGGCACTCGCTAGATGTCTACCTATAGCGTACGTATTGATTCAGTACGAGTTAGTTTCGCCAGTGGGAACTAGAGGGCGCTATTTTAATGAAAACTACAAGATGGCTATCTATATATATATATATATATATATCTCTATATATTTTAGTACTAATATTCATCTATGAACTGACGCAAAGTGCGCGAACTGCGGACCTCATCTAAGGCGCGCGGAGTTGCGGACACAATTTTCCTAAGCGGCTCTCTCCGTCTCTTTCGCACTCATGTAAATTAGACGGTAGCGAATTTAGGCTTTGGCCTAGTGAAATTGTGGCCAAGTGATTTTGAATTGAATTTCCTTTGTATTAGAATTAATTATCGTTTAAATATTTCCAATTAAGCCTGTACAGTTTTTTAAAATATAATATTGAACAACTG